ATNTGAGATCCGATGGAAAGCGGGTAGTCAGCCCCGGTGTCCAGGGTCGAGGGCGTGAAGCTGCCGGCTTCGACGCCGTCAAAGTAGAGCGTCCAGACGGTCTCGTCGAAGGTGTTGCAGTAGTGGTGCCAGCCGCCGTCGTCGGAGCCGGCGACGACGAACTCCTGGTTCCACGCGCCGTTGTAGCCGTTGCAGCGCAAGGTCGCGGCGTCCGTCATGACCTCGAGGGCGAATCGCTTCCCGCCGGCGTTCGAGTTGTAGGAGAAGATCGACGCGTGCGAGTCAAAGTTGTCGATCACCGCCCACAGACACACGGTGCGCGCGGCGTCTCCGAGGATGTCCGCCGTCACCGCCGCCGGGAAATCGACGTAGTCGTCCGTCCCGTCGAAGGACAGCGCGCCGCTCCCGTCGCGGCCCGTCGTCGCCGTCGCGCCGCTGATCGTCCCGTCGAGGTTCCCGTCGCTGTCCTCGGCGGCCGTGCCGTCGTCAAAGGAGTAGTGCGCGAGCAGCGTCGAGTGGGACACGTGCGTCGGCCGCGGCGTCACGGTCGCCACGGCCTCGACGGCGTCGTAGAGGGCCTGGATCGAGGCCGCGTCGAGCGCGCTCGAGTAGACGTAGACCTCGTCGATGGAGCCCGTGAAGTATCGGACGCGGCCGCCGGAGCCAATTTGAGATCCGATGGAAAGCGGGTAGTCAGCCCCGGTGTCCAGGGTCGAGGGCGTGAAGCTGCCGGCTTCGACGCCGTCAAAGTAGAGCGTCCAGACGGTCTCGTCGAAGGTGTTGCAGTAGTGGTGCCAGCCGCCGTCGTCGGAGCCGGCGACGACGAACTCCTGGTTCCACGCGCCGTTGTAGCCGTTGCAGCGCAAGGTCGCGGCGTCCGTCATGACCTCGAGGGCGAATCGCTTCCCGCCGGCGTTCGAGTTGTAGGAGAAGATCGACGCGTGCGAGTCAAAGTTGTCGATCACCGCCCACAGACACACGGTGCGCGCGGCGTCTCCGAGGATGTCCGCCGTCACCGCCGCCGGGAAATCGACGTAGTCGTCCGTCCCGTCGAAGGACAGCGCGCCGCTCCCGTCGCGGCCCGTCGTCGCCGTCGCGCCGCTGATCGTCCCGTCGAAGCCATTATAATCGTCCATGGCTTCGCCGTCATCGAAGGAGTAGTGCGCAACCAGCGTGGCCTGGAAAAGGTGCGACGTCGGCGGTTTGCTCGCCGTCGGCGCGGGGGTCGCGGACGGCGCCGCGGAGGGCGCGGACGTGCCGCAGTCGTTCTCGTACCACGCGACCGTGTCGTCCCGGTAAGATGCCGAGAGCGCGTCCACGTCACCGTCGCCGTCGACGTCGATGGCGAAGGCGTACCAGGCGAAGTCCGCGAGCGTCGTGATGATGCGCTCCGCGAAGGACTGGGACCCGTCGTTCTCGTACCACGCGACGGTGTCGTCGATTCGCGATGCCGACAGCGGGTCCACGTCGCCGTCGCCGTCGACGTCGATCGCAAAGACGGACTGGGCGCCGTCCGCGAGCGTCGTAATGACGCGCTCGCTGAAGGACTGGGAGCCGTCGTTCTCGTACCACGCGACCGTGTCGTCGTACCAGGACGCCGAGAGCGCGTCGACATCGCCGTCGCCGTCGACGTCGATGGCGAAGACGGACCTGGCGAAGTCCGCCGATTCGGTGATGACGCGCTCCGTGAAGGACTGGGACCCGTCGTTCTCGTACCACGCGACGGTGTCGTCGTTGACGGACGCGGAAAGCGCGTCGACGTCGCCGTCGCCGTCGACGTCGATCCCGTAAACAGAGCGGGCGCCGTCCGCGAGGTTTGTGATAACGCGCGTGGCGAAATTCTCGGAGCCGTCGTTCTCGTACCACGCGACCGGTCGCCGTCTTGAGACGTCGACAGCGCGTCGACGTCGCCGTCGCCGTCGACGTCCATCGCGAAGACGCCCCAGGCGCCCTCCGCCGAGCCGGTGATGACGCGCTCCGCGAAGGCCTGGGACCCGTCGTTCTCGTACCACGCGACCGTGTCGTCGTTGAAGGAGGCCGAAAGCGCGTCGACGTCGCCGTCGCCGTCGACGTCGATCGCGAAGACGGTGACGGCGCTGTCCGCCAGGGTGGTGATGGCGCGCTCCGCGAACGCCTGGGATCCGTCGTTCTCGTGCCAGGCGACCGTGTCGTCGTCGACGGACGCGGACAGCGCGTCGACGTCGCCGTCGCCGTCCACGTCGATGGCGAAGACGGAGTAGGCGCCGTCCGCCGAGTTCGCGACGACGCGGGCGGTGAAGGCGACGCTCGCGCAGACCACCGTGGGTCGGGGCGTCGGCGCGGGCGTCGGCGCCGGCACGGGCGCGGCCGTCGGCGCGGGCGTCGGGCTCGGGTCGCAGTCCCGGCCGTCCGCGCTCGGCTGCCAGCCGTCGGCGCACGCGGTGATCTCGGAGCAGTAGTCGATCTTGTGCCGCGTGAAAAGGCGTG